AACAGTTGTCTTGTTAAAAAGAAAGTTTGTAATCATTAGATTAATAAATACCATGATAAGGTTCCCATGGATTTAAAAGTGGGGCCGGATGTGCAGATGTGATCTGACCACCCTGCTGCTCCTTAATAACCCGATCACTCCATGAATATGAATGCTCAGCAGAGTGATTGTGTTTATATCTCTGTTGTGCACGCATGCTTGGTGTGGTTAAAGAGTATCTAAACCCAAGAGCAAAAATGTAATATATTGCAGCCTTTAGATGTGGTGTATGCATTAGTTTTTTTTTCCAGGTGTTTCCCCTTTATTATTAGCTGGTGATCCTGCCAGTAATACACTTCCTGTCCTAGGGGGACAACGCTCACTCACTGTGCTGTATCGACAGGAAGTGTGCTAGGGCTGTGAAGCAAACCCCCCTCTCCTATTGTCCATAACATGTTGCTCCCAGAGAGGGCTGATAACACTTCTAATAGATAACAGTGCAGCACGGGACATTACAAAGGTCAGTGGATTTCTGGCAGGATCAACAGGTATTTTTTTTTAATGAAAAATACAATATATATATATACAGTAGATATAGACGATCCATTTGCCTGGTATAGACCTGAACTGTTAGATGGGGGCGATGTAGCATCTTCATTGAAGACATCTTTTCACACTCGGAAATCCGTGCACTTAACACACGCTATTGCACAGCGCTAGGTGTGCTGGTGCATTGTGTTTCCATTCATTTGAATGGCACTTTAATGCAACTCCCTTAAAGCATGTGCTGCAGGGCAACGTGCACTACTGCAATACTCCAGACACTGGACACCATTGTGGAGAGTCAGATACCATTGTAGAGAGTCTCCTTCATGGTCATCGGACACCATCGTGGAGAGTTTCTTCCGTGGTCACCGGACACCATCGTGGAGAGTCTCCTCCGTGGTCACCGGACACCATCATGGAGAGTCTCCTCCGTGGTCACCGGACACCATCGTAAAGTCCCCTCCGTGTAGCCTCTCCCAATGCACATGCGGTTTAGTGCACCACATTGCACACTATCGCACTACCGTGCATTGTGATGTGAAGTACATGCACATGTATTTTGTTTGTGGTGCATTTTAGCGCGTTCATATAAATGACGCACCAAAAAAGTGTGCACCCAGCCAACAGTACATTCATTTATAACATTGCCTTATTGGTATAGACGGCTTTACATATCATTGTTCCCTTTTTTGCTGCTTCCATCGGAATTAATTAAACCGAGAGCGATCTGCCCGACCGGTCATTTCAGCCAAAGGTCATTTGATGTATCGGAAATCTGGGCTGATTCTGAGTCAGTGCTGCATCTGCTAATACCTGCGTGGTCAGTGACCCCGGGAGAACGCCATTAACCCTGAATACCGGTCGCAATATATACAAGAGGGCACTGAGTATTACGATCGACCTGCTCAGTCAGAAATATTTACATGTCATTCAGCACACACATGACCATAGATAAGGTGTGCGCTAGATACACATCTGTCAGGCCGGGTTCACACCTTTTTGGGAAGGCGCACGTTACTGCAACACGTGAAAACGCGCATGTTGCAGGTAAAGGTCTTGCAGTACTGTTCATTCACAGAGGCACCCCAATGCATGTGCATTTTAGCACCCCACAACATAGGGTAACACACTAGCATACATTGTGGTGTGCTGTCCTCAAAAAGAAAGTACGTGTACCTTTTTTTGCATGCATATTAATGAATTAGGGAGCCCATTCCAATGAATGGCTGCCCAATACAACGCATGTCAACACACTTTGTGTTAAGGCTATGACACACTACATGCAAAGCAGCACGGAGCGGTGGCGCACTACCTTTGCGTGCAGTGCGCTATGTAATTTTCTCTCCGGCATGTCAGCTTGCGAGACCTCGTATAGCTGAGTGTGCCGAGGTGAAAAATTTAATCTTCAACCAATCGACTTGCGCATATAAACTTGCACGTCCCGATGCGCAGTCCATCCGGTTGTTACGCGCGAAGATGCAGTCATTCATCTGGCTGCACTTAGCTGACGCACTGCATGCGAAGCTTTGTGCCTGACAGCTTTGCTTCACTCTGCACGGCTTCAGGTGCAGGATGTTACGGACTTTAACGCACAAGGTGTGAACCTAGCCTCAGACATCATATAAATGTGCTGAAATGGGGTCTTTAATCCAACTTCTGTATGGACGCCATGTGGGTTATTTTTGCAACATTTACCCAAGAGTATTTTTTATTATGACTTTTCCATTGTATGATGACTGTTGTTTCACATTTAGTTTTTTTTATATCTAATATATAATAAAATATACCCATGTGGAACTGTGCCCATGTCTACAACAGGCAATGTGATAAGCATTGCAGCATGAAAGAGACCCTGTCACCAGACCTATGGTTTCAACACAATCTTTCCATAAGTTTATGGGGTCTATTTAAAAACAATTCACAGAGCCAGTGGCCCTGCGAATATCTCTGAACGTCCACTCTGTGCAAATAAGGGCAACAACAAACATTCTTAGTATATTGTCGTTTCAGGTCAAATGTAATGTAATGTAATACCACATTATGGCCACAAGATGGAGCTGAGGAACATAGGAAATAAATACTTATTTTCTTTGCTCCTTACTTCCATCTAGGGGCCATAATGTGGTATTACATTACATTAGACCTGAAAAGTAAATATACTAAGAACGTTCGTTTTTGGTTCAAGTAGGTGTGGGGTAGTGCTGGTCCAATATAAGTTAGAGTTTGATTTATGTAAATCCAAAATATTACTTCTACTTTGGGGAGGTCATACTCCAACAAAGGCCCTTAGGCTGCTGCCTCTCTTATCGTGGTAAACGGATGCTCAACAGATTATCCATATATTGAGTAATGTTAGGAGCACCTGGCACAGTCAAGTAGCTTGAAATTGATTCGCTGTAGACATGTGCGATTCGTTTAGTTACAAATTAAAATTTGGGCAAATTTTCCGAAATTCGGACATTCAGACACATCCGAATTTCCAAATCCCAATGCATCCGAATGTGTGCTAATCCGAATTTACGTTTCCGGTTTTCGGATCCCGTCCGAATTTCGTTCAAATACAAAACTGAATCGGACATGTGACTTTTTTGGCCAATCAGATGTGATTTTCGGTTTAATGCATCCGAATGGGTCTGAACACAAATCTTCATTACGCCAACATGGGAGCCATATTCAGTATACACGTACACTGAGTGGCCAGATTATTATGACACCCCATCAGTACTTCGTTGGGCCGCCTCGTGACTCCACGAGAAGTTGAAAGGTGATGCGAGGAATCTGACACGGCACTGTTGCCCTTCTGTTGTCTTGTACCAGTCTTGCCACTCTCCGTTCTGCCCTAACATTGACTAGTCGCTGACGGTCACAATTCGCACGTTCAGACCCAGATTTTCGGCTGACAGTCCGGTCTTTAAACACTTTAACAATGAGCCCCTCAAAACAGAGAATTCTGCTGTTTTGCTGATACTCGCTCCATGGCTCCGAGCACCAACAATCATCCCGCGTTCAAAGGCTGTTAAATCGCGTTGTTTTCGCGTATCTTCAGAAACAAATCACTTCTACTGTCGTGGTAAACAACCCGCTTCCCTATTTATAATGGTCTGGCCCTCTAGCAACTTCAGCGCAAAATTATAGCTAATTTGCCTACAAATGTCAGGTGGTCATAATAATCTGGCCACTCAGTGTATAATACTACAGCTGAGGCTCCCAGACCCGAATGGCATTCAAGATATGAATTTCCAAATTGCAGCTCCTAATGCCATTCGGGTCTGGGAGCCTCAGCTTTAGTAATATATGTATGTGGCTCCCAGACCCGAATGGCATTAAGAGCTCCCCAATGCAATTGGGAAATTCGGATCCCAAATGCCATTCGGGTCTGGGAGATTCAGCTTTAGTATTAATGTCTGTATATGGTTTTCTGTGGAATTCGCAACAAATATTTGTAAACTCATCCGAAACTAACAAAAATTCAGATTTCGTCCAAAACCCGAACCGAATTGAATTTCGGATCCGAGTTCCGAAATAACGAAATATCCGAACCGAATTTTTCCGCAGCTTACATGTCTAATTTGCAGAGTAAAATACAGCCAATGCGTTTCGAGGGAGGGGTCTCCCCTTCTTCAGTGCTTAATTGTCTGATATGTCATTAAAGGAGAACTATGAGGTGAGTGATTTTCACTCATCCTCATAGTTCGAGCCGACGTGTGACAATGAAACTGTCACATGTCGGCTGAGTAGATCAGGAAGTGAGCGAACACATACCGTCGCTCGCTCACTTCTCGATCCTGTCCCTGCATAGAGCTGTGACTGTCACTCACGGCTCCCTGCAGGGATTCCCCCCTCCCCGCTCTGATCCCCCAGCGCTGACTGGAGGAACGAACGGGGGAGGGGGTGGGTCCAGCTGGCTCTGCCTCTGGATAGGCAGAGCCAGCTGTCAATCACGCAGCTTGCTGGATCTCGACAGTAATGTCGGGATCCGTCCTGGCTGCGGGGTCTCAGCATACAGGAAGCTGTAGCTCGCGGTATACTGAGCTCTGGGTGACGGGAGGACGCTAGTTTGTGTCCTCCCGTTACTCTTAGGAGAACTATGGGGAAAAGCCCTGACCCCATAGTTCTCCTTTAATGTCCATACGAGATTAATTTAAAGATTTGCTTTCATCTGAAATCTGAAGTAGTGGTGTCTACACGTGACGATGAAAGTATCCAGCCATTTTCACTTCTATGTGCAGAAGCTACTACTTCAGGTTCGGCCATATAGAGACAATGGTGAAAGGTAAAGGGGTCTCAGAGTGATCCAGTCATCGGCGTGGCCTTTAGGCCAGTCACTGGGTGTTATTAAAAATCACAACAGACTATCCCTCCCAGAATCCTCTGCCTGCTTTTCATTACATTATGGTCGCCTCCAGCAAAGGGGATGAGTGTCTTTTGTATCTAGAGGTATTTACAAGCCTTGAAAGTGCACCTGTCTCCTATCAACAGCATAATACCCCGTCTTCCAGCACTGCATCAGCCACATGTAGGTGGTAGGTTATGTGCAATACCATGGAAATTCCAAAGGACGTATACATCATGCTGGTCCTAGGGGAACACGGGACTGAAATGCAGATGTCAGGTGGGGACGTGTGTTTACCTGAGATCATATCAGTGGGAGGGCAGGGAGAGGACTGATAAGGTCTGATAAGGTCGGCCACTTGTAGGATTTTCTAGAGAACACAATGTACCAGAGATAGTGACCTACATCAGAGCAAGGACAGTACAGTACATAGCTTGTGTACGCACACACAGCGTTTAGTTTATATAACATAATTCATAATTGCAACAGACTTGCTTCTGTGGTTGCACGGGGTAGACAGCTTCCAGTTGGTGTTTTGTTTACAGGAAGCGAGAGTCCACACAGCAAGTCAGGTCTCAAACTGGCACAACTTTGTTGTGCTTCGATTTGATAAAATATATATCTCGCTGATTGAATAATTTTGGAATATTGAATATTATTAATAATGGCAAAAATGAATGTTCTTGATATATTTTTTCCTCAGTTTGAATGTACTGAGAAGAAGTGAACAATCTAGGACAACATAGCTGAACTGGAAAGTGAGCCGAATCGGAGAATTCTGTCCAGTTCAGCTATGTTGTCCTAGATTGTTCATTTCTCCGGCCTTCTCCAAACTCCTCACCCTTCTGTGAATAACCCTGTTAGAGTTACAGGCATGAGTCCCAGAGGAAGAGGCATGTTGGGATTTGTAGGTAAAGCAATGTTGTAGCTGTACACCATGCACTCTGTGCAAGTCTGCTTTGTTATTCCGCAGCCATTGTCCCTCCCCGTCAGCTGGGAGTCATGCATGCCAAAGAAGCCTCCATAGCAACCCCTTCCTCTATGGTAAACAGATCTGCCGCAGGTGAATTGCTCCCGAACTGACATATCTTAACCTCTCCAACACTCATGGACGCCTCTGAAAACCGCAACTTTCCTTTAAAAGAGCAAGTCAGACAGCTGAACAACGAGAATGTGAGTAGATCCCAACACAAGACACAATTTTCAACTTTTTAAAAGACTTTCCTATACTGAGGAGTCTTTAAAGTGACACTACTAAACTCAGGAGTTAAACCTTAAAAATACATTTAAGTACCTCAACTATGAACAACAATGTATGCTATTTGTGTATCACTCGGCTGTAGATCCTCCAATTATCTTTGAATTGGTGCTGACACTGTCCTTCCTTCTGGAGGGGGGCTACTTTTGTTCCTTATGGTCCCTGTGTGTGTTGTAAAGTAGTTACCGCCCCAAGCTCGCTCCCGGGATGGACTGCAATCTCATGTTTAGTTTACTAATTTGTATTGAGATTGTAGTCCATCCCGGGAGCGAGCTTGGGGCGGTAACTACTTTACAACACACACAGGGACCATGGGGAACAAAAGTAGCCCCCCTCCAGAAGGAAGGACAGTGTCAGCACCAATTCAGAGATGATTGGAGGATCTACAGCCGAGTGATACACAAATAGGATACATTGTTGTTCATAGTTACGGTACTTGAATTTATTTTTTTAAGATTTAACTCCTGAGTTTAGTGTCACTGGTTAAATTGTGACACTGTCATGAAAGGTCGCAAAATCATATGCTGAGATACAAAGAATATCTGCAAATAGATACAAACTATCAGTGGTCAAGTGATAAAAAGCATACAAAGTTGCTGTTCAAGTTCTTCTATTGAGAATTCGTTCAAGTGTTCCCATAGAATATATATCCAAGGCTTTCCAGCTCCCTCTGCACTGTGGAGTCCTTGCAGAACACTACAGAACAGATAGGAAGGGCATAGAAATGTATTATACTCACTAAGGTACCTGGCAAAAAAAGCATGTAACATAAAAACCATCCAAGGAGAGACTCGCTGGGTCTCCGCTATCCACTGGTTACTGGAAATGTACAAATGTTGAGCTGGTTGAGCAACACATAGTCACTGCATCAAAGGGGGACAATCTAGCTTACACGTTTCAAGAGCAAACCCTCTTCATCAGAACTACCTAAGAGAAACCTAATAAGGGGAACTGTAGCTTATGTGTTTCCATTGGGACAGACAGCAAAAAAAGGCCCTACATTGTTAGTGCAGTGGGGAAAGCTTAGAACCTCAATTGGGTTTAATTCTTTTGCTGCCCGCACTTTCCTGTCCTGGTGACCACCATTCCACTCATTGATTTTTCTGGAGTGACAGAAGTGTCATTTAAAGTCCACGGTCCCATCGCACTCCTGACCGCCAATTCCCTTCACGAAGCGAGTGCTGCAGTAGTCAACGGGGGGCAGCCGTTATAATCCCAAGTAGAAACAGAGACACCAGCACTCCAAAATGATAAGCAAACGTCTATTTATTGACGTGCAGCATGACAAACATAGCAACGAACGTTTCGGGGTCGCAGAGGATCCCCTTCCTCAGGCAAAAGCATACAGTGTAAGTGCACACAAAACAACTGATATATAGCACCACCCTAATTGAGAAAGCCAATTACAAACACCCAATGTAGCCCTGTGACGCCATCAACGACGCCACATTCCCGCCAGGTATACATTGTATGAAGTGATGGATTATAAGGCACGATAGAGCAAATAACCAAAACATGGTACATAGAATTACCTCTGATCGGCCACAGACAGGGAACCCGCTTGTTACAGGAGATCGAGTCCCATCGTAATTTTATGTACCATGTTTTGGTTATGTGCTCTATCGTGCCTTATAATCCATCACTTTATACAATGTATACCTGGCGGGAATGTGACGTCGTTGATGGTGTCACAGGGCTACATTGGGTGTTTGTAATTGGCTTTCTCAATTAGGGTGGTGCTATATATCAGTTGTTTTTTGTGCACTTACACTGTATGCTTTTGCCTGAGGAAGGGGACCCTCTGCGACCCCGAAACGTTCGTTGCTATGTTTGTCATGCTGCACGTCAATAAATAGACGTTTGCTTATCATTTTGGAGTGTCTGTGTCTCTGTTACTAGAAGTGTCATTGAGACACTCAGTAAGTGAAAATCTGCCCAGTGGAGTCAATAGTTCTATTCCAACTCATTTCCAAAGTAAAAGGTTGGCTAAGAGCAAACCCTCTTCATCAGAGCTACCTAAGAGAGACTCAAAAAGGGGAACTGTAGCTTATGTGTTTCGAGGGCAAACCCTCTTCCTCAGAGCTTTTGAAGTGAGACCCGCTCTATCGGATACAGGAAATTTACAACGGTTTAGCAACACATGGCTACTGCCTCAAGTGTGCATCCTGGCTCATGTGTTTCAAAGGCAAACCCTCTTCATCAGTACTACTCTTCATTAGCTCTTATGAAGAAGGTTCACCCCCCCCAAACACATAAATGTATTTTAATACAGTGACTGTATGTTCCTGAATGGGGTTTGAGCAGTGTTTGGCGCTATCGGCACTCCCCCCACTCAACAAAAGTCAATTTTTCAATCGACTTTTGTGGAAGGAGTTGGTCCAAAAATTCAGGTCCAATAAGCTGCAGTCACTGTTCGTGGATACTAACAGCAGCACAGCCGCCACTGTCAGAACACAATAGCCCACCAGGGGTAATCCTCCACCCATGTTCTTTAGCAGAGTTAGGGGAAGTGGTGAAGGAAAGGAAAGGAAATCTCAACACAGATAGCAATTAGAGTTTGGAAGTGGCGCTATCCATTCCCTAGACAAAAAACATGGTGATGTTCCACTTTAAATAGCATTTTAAAGCAAACCTGTTCCAAGCCCAGTCTCCTAGCAGTTTATACTCACATGCTCTTTGCCCCCCCCCCCCCCCCCCCCCCCCACCCTATGCCTAGCATCAA